AAGTAGATGTCAATATATTGTTTGTCCAAAACAATGTTTTATTTCGGAGCAACCGTTTTATATTCGGAGGCAACACGCGTTTTGGGAGCAACAGTTTTATATTCGCAGGCAACACACGTAAATGCACATAGACATGTTACTCATCGAAGTGACTCGGCAAAACATATCACCTGCCAGAGTCACACAACACGCAACAAATCACATGCGCACACACGCCAAAAGAACCCTGCCCATACTTGCACATTGCGTAGCAAATGAGAAGCAGACCAATCAGCTAAACACACATCATAATCACACTCACGCATCACACACCAACAAACCACGCAAACCTTTCATCACCCGCCAGAATCACACACCACGCGACAAAGCATACTCAAACTCTCCAATTGGCCACAATCAAGCACCACACAATAGATGATGAACATACCTGTCAACGAGCAGCCACTTACCACACAACAAGTCAGAAACACACGCACCAACTGAGTACCCAACATCACATACCACACAACAAAATATATACTCACAACCGCCAACTGAACACGGATCACATTCACTCATCGCACAAATAAACCATCAGCACCCGGGCCAACCAAACGCCCACAGCCAGCTACCACACAACAAACAAACAACCCATCCGCCAGCTGAACACCCGCCAAACTAACGAACCACGCAGCGAACTCAAAATGCACGGCCACCAACTGAAGACCCGCCACAGTCGCGTGCCTACAGCGAATAAAAGCGCACACAACCTTCCGCACTCAAACACCACATAATTCATGTTCAAACACTCCCTTTGGACGAGCCCATTATTTCACACAAGTGATGAACACACCCGCTCACAAAGCGCCCGCCGCAGTCACACATTGCGTGACAAAGTAGGAACACACGCCAAGTGAGCACCCTGCACACCTACATAGCACACAACAAAATAATGAGCGGGCCAGCCACCAAAGGCACAGCGCAAAGGATGAACTGAACACGCGCCAACGCGCATCCGCCACAGTCACACACCGTGCAAAAATGGTAAGCACACCTGCCAACAGAGCACTCGCCTCAGTCACACACAGCATTAACACATAACAAACAAACACGCTCACCAAACGCCAGCCATACTCACACGGTGTCACAAACGAGACGTCCACGCCCCAACTGAGCACCCGCTAGAGTCACTCACCAGGCAAGCAAGGGCACTGGCACCACCCAACTGAGCGCCAGCTACAGCCAAAAATGAAAAACACACTTGCCAACTAGGCACCGGCCATGCGCATGAACCACACAGCAAACTACAAGCGCTCGGGCCAACTGAGCAGCCGCCACACCAATACGCCGCACAACAAATGAGCAACGCACGCCAGCGACAAACGATGTGGCAAGTGCTGGGGCAGGAAAACCTGCCAGCGCAAGAAGCGAAACGGAACCGTTAAAAAGGGCCCGGAACCGTTAAATAGGGGGGTGGAACCGTTAAAAAAGGGGGTGGAACCGTTAGGTAGGGACCGGAACCGTTAGAGGGAAAATCGGACCCAAATTTGGTGAAAACCGCGTGCTCCATGACTTTCATGCGGAAAACAATGTGTTCCGTCATTTTTTCCAGCACAATGGAAATTTGGGGTGAATCCAGTGTGAATCTAGCAGCAAATAAGCGCTGCGCCCGCTAACTGAACCCCCAGCAAGCTAACCCACCACACAACATGCGCCTGAAGCTCTGATCCCCTCCCCCAAATAGTCAGGTCAACGCCGAACCCGAATGAAATTGAAAACCGATCGTCTCAAAACACGAGCCAGAACTTCCCCTCAAACGTCAAACCTCAACCCTGCGCAGGATTGTGGGCACAATGGTTGTTGTAGCCCAAATTACGAACTCAGCTGAATAACCTTAGGCTGTTGCAATTGCGCCTTGGAATTTACCTGGAAACATCAACATGTGTATGATTTCTGGCTGGTAGACGGCTTTTTTGTTGGGCGTAGCCAGCTCGCTGCTCCGAAATGTCTCTAACGGTTCCGGCCTTTTTCTATCGGTTCCGGGCCCCTACCTAACGGTTCCACCCCGCTTTTTAACGGTTCCAGGCTCCTTATTTTAACAGTTCCGGATTCGCCCTTCTTGCGCTGGCAGGTTTTCCTGCCCCAGCACTTGCCACAGCGTTTGTCGCTGGCGCGTTGCTCATTTGTTGTGCGGTGTATTGGTGTGGCGGCTGCTCAGTTGGCCCGAGTGCTTGTAATTTGCTGTGTGGTTTCATGCGCATGGCCGGTGCCTAGTTGGCAAGTGTGTTTTTTCGTTTTTGGCTGTAGCTGGCGCTCAGTTGGGTGGTGCCAGTGCCCTTGCTTGCCTGGTGAGTGACTCTAGCGGGTGCTCAGTTGGGGCGTGGGCGTGTCGTTTGTGACGTGGTGTGCAAAGGTGGCAGGTGTTTAACCTTGTCATTTGTTGCGCGGTGTGAGTATGGCTGGCTTTCGGCTGGCGTGTTTGTTTGTTATGTGTTGATGCGGTGTGTGACTGAGGCGAGTGCTTTGTTGGCGGGTGTGGTTATCATTTGGTTTCGCGGTGTATGACTGCGACGGATGCGTGTTGGCGCGTGCTCAGTTCATCCGTTGCGCGGCGCCTGAGGTGGCTGGCACGCTTATCGTTTGTTGTGTGCTATGTAAGTGTGCAGGGTGCTCAGTTGGCGCGAGTTGTTCTACTTTGTCGCGTGGTGCTCACTGCGACGGCCGCTTTGTTAGCGGGTGTGTTCATCACATGCGTGAAATTATGGGTTTATTCAGAGGGCGACTTTAATATGTATACTGTTACTGTGGTGTTTGAGTGTGGCTTCTAATTTGCTCTAGGTACGCGAGTATGGCGGGTCTTGAGCTGGTGGCCGTGCATTTTGAGTTTGCTGTCTGGCTCGTTAGTTTGGCGAGCGTTCACCTGGGGAATGGGTTTGTCTTTGTTGCGTGGTCGCTGGCTGTAGTGCTGATGGTTTATTTGTGTGATGTGTGAATGTGGTCGGTGTTCAGTTGGCGGGTGTGATTGTGTTTTGTTGTGTGAAATGTGATTGTGGCAGGTACTCAGTTGGCGCGTTTGATCGCGTGTGTTTCTGACTTGTATGGTGAGTGGCTGATTGTTGGCAGGTATGTTCATCATGTATTGTGTGGTGCTTGATTGTGGCCAATTGGAACGTTTGAGTATCCTTTGGTTCGTGGTGTGTGGTTCTAGCAGGCGATGAAGCGTGTGCGTGTTTTGTTGGTGTGTGAGGCATGAGTGTGGTTATGATGGGTCTTTAGCCGCTTGGTTTGCTTCTCATTTGCTACGCAATGCAAGTATGGTCGGATTTTTTTGGGCGTGTGTTTGTGTGCGCATCTGATTTGTTGTGTTGTTCGGCTGCGGCAGGTACTGTAGGCAGGTGTGGTTCTCTGTTTTGCCCAGTCACTTCGGTGAGTAACATGTCTACATACATTTACGCTGGCTGCCTCCAAATATAAACTTGCTATGCAAATAACAGAATGTTGTTGTGAGAAGCGGCATTAAACAGCTATGGCTGCTGTAGAAGTTGTAGGTTTTGGGACTGAAACATTTAAGGGATATGCGCTGACACAACTCACTCTAGTTGCGGCGCCGTCTTTCCAAACTCCACGGAACAATGCTCTGTGTGTGTGTGTCTTAGTTTTGAAGCAGAAGAGGGCTAAGTTTATGCTATGCGCCATTTGGATTTCCGAATGTAATGAACCCCGCTAATGTGATTTTAGCAATAGTGCGCAATCGGAACAAAGACTGGACAGCGACCGCTGACTGCTGTTCCCTTCCCTGATGCATAGTGGCTTCAAGCAGACTATAATTTCTGGTTGCCCGACAACGCGAATTTGTAGCATTCAAATGGTCTGAAGTTTGCCACTGGCAAAATCCCCTGGAACACGGGGAAAAGGCGAAGCGGGAAAGGAAAGAAGCAGGAACCCCGACTCACTCAAGCAAAACCCGGATTAAAACAATCTCAGATCTCAACCTGTCCCACGCGAGCCCAAACTCAAATTGAACACATCCTAAGCCAATCTTGAACTCAATGTCGTCCAAAACCAAAAAGGGTTTCGGCGGCCCTTAAATCAGCCCTAAATTCGCCCAGCACCTACCGTAAATCAACCCTCAGCAACGCTACGCCCACCCGCGCGCAAGCTCAGGCGGCAGCATATCAACTCTCAAAAAGGAACCAATTTGCCCCCCTACGCTGGTTACCTAAAAAACAGGTAACCGGCCCTAGTTCCGCCAAATCTGTCGCTGAAGCCCAGTTACCCACTATACAAGTAACTGGGAAGCCCTGGGAATATCTTCTGGACCTGTTTTCTTGCTTAAACCGGTGTATATAAAGGGACCAAGGTTTGCTTAGGCCAATCATTTCGGGGACCCAGCCTTGCCTGAAGCAAATTTTGCCGTCAGTCGAATCGAGGCACCTCGACTCCCACCCGGGTGGCTCTCACCTTGCGAGTGCTGCGATTGGCCCGGGTGTCCTTCTACATGAAGCTGATCCAAACGCGCCTCCGGTCAAATTGTTCGCCCACATGGTGGAGCGAGGGGTGACTGTTTGTTGGTGCCCGATGGGCATGTTCCCCATTTGGAGAGGCACCCAAATGAACTCATGTCTAGGTACCATTGAGGCTTCGTGGGCTCCCTCCCACCCAGCCATGCGATCCATGAGAAGGTGCCTTTGAAAGGAGGCGTCAATCAAGTCTACGAGTATCGAGCCTTGTTGTTTTCCGGCTGTAAGGCAACCAAGCGTGCGCGTCAACGGCCAAAATCTCCAGTAGCCTTTTGGGGACTCACTGATTGAATTTCCCAAATTGCAGGGGACTCTCCAGTTATCCAGTGTTCTGACAGATCCACACTGGAACCGCATCTTTATCCAGTGTTGCGAATTGCCCTGACACTCGATACGAAAAGACCTAGCACCTCAGCGAAGTTCTTGGCAATGACACCAGCTTATGCTGTTTTGAGAGGCTGTAGGCCACATGGGCCCATTACTCTCACCAGATTGGGTATGGTGCATGTGTTTGTGTATTATTTCGACGATGCTTTTTTTCAGGGCGGCGTTCAAAGGAAGAAGCTATCCATGTTGCGGTTCCCCGATTTTGAGAAGACCTACCCATGAATTTCGCTCGTGCTTGCAACCTTGCAGAGTCCCCATGAGTCCCCCCCCCCCCCGGGTGAATGCAGGCCGATGCTGCAAGAGCTCGCCAACATTGTCCAAGGCTTTTTGGTGGCTGCACCTTGGCCCGTGGCGAAACGCAGCCCTCGATGAGCAAGTAAGCAAAGCCGTGGTGTTGTGTTCAACACTGTGTGGAGGGGGGGGCTTGTGATTATGGCAACCCAAAAGGTGATGACCTTTTATGCCTGGCTCTTCAGATTGCAGGTGAGCGCTCAAGTAGGACGACCGAATGATTACCCATGTTCTAGAGTTTGTTTTGCATTTGTTTCAGGGATCCTTCTTTCCAAAACATCGCCAAACACCCTGGGGCAGCTGCTGGCACAGCAAACAGACAGACAGACACAGAGAGAGAGAGAGAGAGAGAGAGATTGGAAAGAACGTCAAGTTTTTTGGAAGGATTGCTTTCCGAATGGAGGGAATCAACTTATTGGCACTGATGTTCCTGGAATGCGCTGGTTTGGCACCCCTTCTTTGTCAACCCCCTTTTAGATGTTGGGATTCTCCTGGGAGGCTTGAAAAGAACGATAGTTGAAACGACAGGCACTGGAATCCCAGGCCCAGCATTTCTCAGACCGAAAAGTGAGAGCGGAATCCAGAGGTCCCGTTGAGAGCGGAATCTGGAGATCCCCTTTTGGCGATTTCGAGCATCACCTTCTGGGCACATTCAAGGTGAGTTGTTTTTTAGTGCGGTTATTTTTACAGGGACGTACAGGGAACAGAGCGGGGTTTGGATCAACCATTGCACCTTTGCTGCCTTCAAGAGAGCGTTTTTTTTCAAATGATCGCAACGTTTGGGTTGTGCTGGGAGCCCTTAATCCGTTTCGGTTCTCTCAGGTTCCCTCGCTGTTCTGGGTTCTGGTCACCCTCTCCGTGGTGGTCTACGTCTCGGCGCTGGCGATGCGCGCTACGGTGTGCCTGGGATCAAATAGCTCAGGGTCCCTTGGACTGTTCGCACACCTACAGATCACTTCGTAAATGGTAAAGGTGGTTGTTCATCCAGCAAACATGTACCCTTGAAGGAACCCTGTAGGAACTGTAGATTCTGTCCCCATAAGGGCTGAGCCTAAATGGTTTACAATGTGTAGCTTACCCCCTATTGATTACCATCAGGAAACAAACGGGTAGTTTGAAATGGACCTGAACAAGGAAAGTGCCTGTGCTTACTTGGGTTGCAAGCCCCCGTGTCTGTGAGACATGCCTCGCCCGTCGTTCTCCCCTGTTTGTCGTATGTCCTCTTTTGTCTTTGGTTTTTGTTTCTTTAGTTTGGTTCTGTTCGTTATTACTGCGAGGCTGCAAAGGACCGTGTTCGCTCACATGACCTTAGGGTGGGAGGTGTTGATTGAGTGTCCTGTGCGAGGGGTGATGTTTGCAGGGGAATTTCCGGGTGCTTTATTATTTCTCCGTCCTTTCCCCAACCAACAGACACAGGGCACCTTTTGCCTTTGCCAGTTGGCAAGTACTGGAGGTTTTACGCATATCAATGTCAACCTGCGCGGACATCCAGATCACAGTCTATTGTAAACCGCAAGTTGTTCAACTGGTCGCCTACTTGGTGTTCATTTGGACAGCATGTGGCCGCGTGCGCCACACGCCTTCCCCATGGGGCAGCCTTTGTCTTGAGCCTTTTACCCAGGGCCCATGAAAATAGATCAGTGCCGCTGGTGAGCAAGGCAGCTGAAGTGGTTCAGTTTGTCTGTCCCTGAACCGTGAAGGTTGCAGAAAAGAGTACAGTTGTAGGTTTCATTGCCAGGCCATTTCCATTTATTTGCATTGTTTGTCGCATTGTGGGTTTCATGATCGATTCTTGCCGCCGAGCAAAGACTAAGGCAGAGGATCAGTGGCGGAGGGATTGAGACAGGCCGTGACCTAAAATGGGGGCTTCGAGGGAGCGAGTGTGATCAAAGATGCCCACCATGCTGCCATGGCCCGGTATAGTTAAATTGACCACCCCCCAACAAAATACAACCACCCAACGGGGCAAGTTTGAGAGTGTGAGCGGGCCTGCCTCGAGTGCCGCGCTCAGTGACGAAATCGCGGGCTGTGGACAGGGGGCATGGCCCTCAAATTGTTTGTGCCCAGAGGCTCCGAATTGATTTAGGGCCTTCAATCCCCCCCAATCATCTGGGTGTGTAATGGAGGGGTCAGGTCCATTGAAAGCCGAAGCCGAAACCAGGAGCCTAATACAACTTGTCAGGGGAAAGACGAGGAACCCCACCGAAGGACCGGACCCCCACCGAAGGACCTTAGGACCGAAGGACATGCTCTCGGATTGAACGCCACTGAGGTGTGTGTTTGTTGATTGGATTTCACCAAGCCAAAAGGAGAACTGAAATGTTTGAGGTCACTTTTGGCACACCCATATACACAACGTGCGTGCACCACTTGACAAGATACTGTTAACATGTGGTGACTAGTGGTGACGGTTCGTTGCCTTTCCCTTTCAACTCGTACTTTGAAGCTTCAGGTCAATTGGTCAAGAGCCAATCCACTTGTGGCGAACTCACCTGTAAGGAGCTCCCCCTCAAGTCGGGTGCTGGAATTGTTCTAGAATATTGAGAGCCAATGTGTATATGTGTTGTTAATGTGTTTTTCCCGTGGGAGCAGTGTGCATGCCAGATGCTGCCACGCGTTTCTGTCTTTCTGAATGGTGTCCACCGCAGCGACTTCTGTGTGCAACAAACACATGCTTGGCAAAGAGCTGCGCATGAATGCCCTTCACTGTAGCTGCTTGATGAATATGCTGAAGGCCTGCAGGTTGCATAGCGCCGGTGAAAGGGGTACAGGCCTTATTTCATGTTGGCAGCTGTGGTATGGCCAGAAATTCGGGAAGCGTTTTAAACGAAAACTCATCCCCCATCAAAGGACACACCCGTTGGCTGAAGGTGACAACACATTCTATGCCTACCAGGTATGGCCATGTCCAACTTTCCCATGTCCTTTGAGGAATACTGTGGATCGACAAAATCCTGCACCACTTTGAAACTCTGGGAAACCATTGTTTGTTGGTATTTACAGGGGAATCATTATAAACCAGGGTATCTTAGGTGGTGCGAACTGGATTTCGCAACCATGAGTATGTTTGACTCTGTCCACTCCATCTTTGCAGACTCTCAGCCGGGAAGGGAATGACTTTCTATCAACCATCCCTATGTAGCCTTCCTGTAAGGGGGGCTTGATGCAGGCCGCCAAGAACTCGGCCCTTCCCCCTTTCCCCAAGATCCATTGATTCAAAAAAAATAATAATGATTATTATTTTGAGGATTATGATTGTATTAATAATAATACGAAGAAAACATTTGATCACTGAGAACCAGCACAAACAAAAAGCGAACGGCGCCAGATACCTGCGGCAGCGGGGACTCCTACGACCTGAACGCCCAGCTACCGTCCGGCTGCGGGGACATCCACGACCTCTACGGGGTGGAGTACTGCGGCTCAGTTCTGGGGCTCCTCGACCAGAAGACGATCCGTCCATCTGAAACGTGCGTTGACTTGTGGGACTGTCCTTTGGACAACCTTCACTTGGACAACCTTCCCACTTCCTTAAGACTTAAGTTGACATGCAAAGCCCTGTTGGCTTTTAAGGGAATCGATGTCACTTGTGGGACTTGCCATGTTTTCCAGGGGCTTCGGCAAATGGAGGAGTTTCATGGTGCGAACGTTCGTTTAGGATGGCTTCGAAGTCGGACTTTGGCCAGTTTTAAGGATCAATGTCGGACTCTGGGGCTTCCCTTCCTGCCACTTTGGGGCAGTTGACTGAAAGGACCTGCGCGCATTGGTTTTGTCATCCCTTTACGGACATAAAGGGAATGGTGCACTTTTATTCCAGTGGCAGCAAACTGTGGGCGTAAAAAACAAAATTGAGAGGTGTGAACGTTTGAGAAATAAACAGTAAACCCTTCTTTCGCCGAGCATCGTGGACTCGCCGCTATACAAGCACGCAGCAACCGCAAAGCTTTTGCCCGCCAGGAATTTGGCATACAAAAATCCTTCGGAATTCGACAAGACAGATAAGCGTCGAGCAGAATACAAGAAAGTTTGGTCGCCGATATTCCCACGTATGGGGGAGACCTTGAAAGCTCGAGGAGCAGGAACGAATCAAATAATTTTCTGGGACGGCGTTTCACCATTCTACTTGCATCTGCGTTGCCAAGTGTTGCCCTTGGAAGCACCCCGTTGCGGCCTTGCAGGCCCTGACGTCGTCTCTCGTCCACACTCCTGTGGCCATCGCGTGCAACACTTGGACTTCCTTGGGCCTCGGGGATGATGCCTTCACAGCCAGGCCGAGCCAGGCCCCGAGGGCCTCGAAGCAGGGGTCCAGGAGTGCTTCAGCACCCTTGGCCTTTTCAACTGTCACAAGCGCGGTGCTCTGCTTCTGCCCTATGCCTCGGTTGGGGCCTGGTCCAGGCCCCAACAAGGTGTGTCAGCTCAGATGGATTGCACCGGCTGGCGCGCCCCCGCAACTCGATGCCGCGCGCCGACAGTCGGGGGTTGCTGATGCTGGCGAAGATGTGTCGTGCCTTCGAAGCGCCGCGGTCCTTGATCGGCAGTCGCAGCACACCGGGGTCTGCGTCGCGCGGGGGGCGCTCACGGCATTGGTGCGGCTTGGGCAGCGCGATGTTGTCTTGCCCTCCCTGGACGGGGCTCCGGCTGCGCTTGACCTCGCCATCACTGGCTTCTTGCAGTCGGCGACTCTTGCTCGGGCGGCCAGGCAGCCGCTGCGGCTCACACAGCCTACACGACTTCCACCTCCACACGGCCCGGATCTTTGCTGCTCAGGGCATTCGGTTCTAGCCTCTGGTCGCCGAGACCACTGCAGCCTGGGAGCCCGGCGCAGTGCGGGTGCTTTGAGAGTGGCAACGCTGCAGAGCTTCACCACCTCTTTGCCCACCTGCACCGGCGCCTTTGTACAGGATACGGATACTCTTGTTTCGGGTTTACTCGCTGCCTTCGCCAGATTTTGGGAGCTCGATGCTTCTGCCATCCCCGGCATGCACTGATTCTGCCCTCCCCTTTCTTTTCCGGTGGCCTTGTTTGTGCCGGCTTTCGCCTAAACCGTCTGCCATCCTTTGATGGCCAAGATTCTTTCCCTTCAAAGGTTTTTCCCTCTGCTGTCCTTATGCGCTGTCGGGGCTTCATTCTGTGGCAATGTTGGGCAAGTCCAGAGGAAAGCAACAATAGCTTTATCAAATTTCTAGCTGAAATTAAGTAGACGTTTTTAAAGGACGGACTCCAGAATTCCTTTGTTGAAGTAGAATTGTAATATTGGTTATTATATTTCAAAGTAACTGTTGCACCGGAACATGTGTTCAACGTGTTCGAGACCGAGAATACGTTTCCTTATGAAAGCTAGTTACATCTAGTTACTACACTTATCAAGTTCTACCAAATTTCTATCTCACATGAATGGCAATTAAGAAGGACACAATCCAACCATTTGTTTTGAAATATAATTTTCATTGATGATGATTCTATGTCAAAACAATTGCTACACAGGATTTCCTGTCCAATAGAATCGGCTTTGCACATCAGTAGACTCAGTAGACATTCAAACAGCGTGTATTTAACAATTTTGGGACCTCAAAGTTTCCTTTTGTGAATTCTACTTGATTCTATGTATCAAGTTCAACTTGAACTCTGACTAAAGCTACGAAGAATTGAATAAGGAGCGAGTCCAATCAGAGGAAACAAACGCAAAACACAGCCCCCAGGAATCTGAAAAACACAGCCCCCAGGACGACCCGCCCTTTTCTTTTAACAGGGTGTCCACTAGTTGCCCGACAGCATCTCCCCTTTGGGTAGCTGGGTATTAGCATTTCCATATGCGCTATCAAGTGTCTATTCTCCCCACGGGTGGGCTCGCCATCGTGATTGGTTGGTTTCTTGGGCTCATGGGCCAGCAATTTTTGCTGGCTCATAGATCAAGCAAGGGCCCATATTTGCTGCCAGGGGGATGACATGGGCCGCTCACTTAAGCCGCATGTCAGGAAAACACCAAAAAAACAATCGAAAGTCCTGACCATGGCTCAATGCGGCAGGTGCATGTTCACTATCTTCCGGTGCATGATTGGAGACTGCACCACCCGGGGCGGACGAAGTTTGACGCTGGTGTGGAGTCAGGGCTATGGCGTCCAGTTCGATGTCTTCTACGCCTTCAGTGGCTTGTTGGAACTCCGGGCCCCAAGCGACCACATTTGGAGGTGTCCTCAAAAATGACCTGGTTGGATCGGGGTGGGGTTGTGGATTAGGGTGGATAGTGGGGGAGGGGGGGTTCCCAGCATTTCGAGCGTAAGTTTAATGATGTCTCTTTTACGGGCCTATAAAAATGCTGAATGCGTGGGTAAGGTGGGTTCGCATGCCTGGAGATGGGCGATTTTTAGATTGCAACCGGGCACGACTCGAGCAAAAGCAACGACCGGACTTGGTGACTTGGTGCCTTGCACAGGCCCGATGTTGCCCTCCTGAATCCTACCAAACCAGTGCAGTGCAAGCGCAGGGAAAAGGAGGAGTCACTGGCTTGGCATAGGCCAGAGTGCAGCATTCAATATTCGACAGGCGCAACTGGGAGATGGGTTTTTGCCAGGCCTGGGTCCCACAAGTTCACTGTTTGAGACCAAGCAGAGGTAGTGGCATCTCGCAAGTCATTTTGGAGCTGATAGCTTTGTGTTGCCAACGTGCTGAGCACAGAAAGTGTCACTGCTTGAACCTGTGCTTGAGATGTTCCGCAGTGAAGAGTCGGGGGTCCAGGTATGGTTTGTGTGATCTTTGGCATGTTCAACATCATCACTGCCATCTTTGTGGAAGCTACCATGAACGGCTTGAAGGAGAATGCCAACGAAAAGAAGCTTGGACTGGAACGGCAGCCGCATGTTCGGCAGAGTGCATGTCCCTGCGCAATTGAGTGGAAGCAAGTAGGAAGCACAGCAACCTGAATGCTTTCGTTTGCTTCATGTTAGTGCCCTTCGACCCGCAACGCTCAGAAAGTGCAGGTTTGCGCCCAACTATGGATCACCGGTGCACCTTGAGCGCGGGCCCCGCAGCTCCCCGTAAAGGGTCAAAGATAGGCTTCCCCCAGCAGGGGCCCCCGAAGTTGCTTTTCAGGAAATGCTCAGCCCCAAGTCTATGACATGGCGGCTTTACCGGCGTCCACAGCCGGTTGCAAAGGCTACCCTCAAAGTCTGGGAGTTCTTCATGCCTCCTTTGAGTGGTGAGCAAGCCTTTGCCCAGGAAGTATGCGCAGGCCTACGAATCTAACTACATGACAGAACAGCTGGCGAAGTTGGTCATGATGGTCAGCAAAACAGTGCAGCGCGCTCGCGCTGGCCAGGACCAAAGCAGCATGGGAACGTGCCTTGGCGCCTTTTGTTTTCTGCAGTGACTGGCGAAAGCCAAGGGAGCGATTCTGTCGGAAATGCGGCCCTTTCCGGAACACAAGTTCGACTTGAGACGCGTTCGGCTGTGGCCCCTATAGTTCCCCTAGCTCGGCAAGGATGGGCCAACGCCCAAGTGAGCGTCAGGGTTTGTGATCCAGCGACATGCCTAGCCTTGGGCCATGAGAACCAAGAGCTCAGGGTGGAGTTTCCAAACGCAATAGTGTCAAAGCCGTATTGACACTCTGCGGTATCACAGAAAAGGGTGGGTATCACAGAAAAGGGTGGCTTTCGTACCAATGCATAGGCTGCGGGACGGCTTTCTTGGCTGTATTCCAGAACTCAGCCATGGCTAGTGGTTTTCTAACAGGTCAGGGGGTCATACCAGGGTTCACAAATACATGCAGATATCTCTATATATACACACACTATATATATATATACATATGTGCATAATTATATATATATACACTTGCAGTTGTGCATTTAGCTTGTAATCGAACACCTTTCATGTTTGATTATCAAGACCCTTGATCGGCTCTATCAAGGTCAACGTGAGGTGTACGGAAAAGGAGGACTTCCCGTTGGGTAGTCACTGGTACAGGACCCAGCCCTCCTCAAACAAATTGGGGGGTCGACAGGGAAAAGCGTTAAACAAAGAGAAACTCGGGGTCAGAGTTGGGGCTGCACAAAAAGGATTGCTTAGTGGTTAGAGTTGATCTAGGGCCGGGTAATTTCAAGATTGTCGTAGGATTATTTTGCACTGGTTCAGGGAGTTTTTGAGGAAATGGTCAGTGGCATGCCCACTTTGGGCCTGGACGGCAAATCCACATTTGGACTCGGGCCACTGTTTTTGGCTTGTTGATTCTATATGGAACCCCCCTTCCTAAAGTTGGAAATAAGCATCCCGGTATCCCCAACAGCTCCGAACCCCCTGGAACCCTCCGGAACCCCTCCCTGAAAGCTGCCCCAAACCACCCCTCAGCCTATCCGGGCAAAGACCGAAAGGCTTTCAGCTGGGGAAAAACCATTTTGAGACGCCCTGAGGATCAGGAGATCTCTGAGCTTCTCGGACAAGTCCGACTCCGAGCTGGACAAAGAGCTCTTCTTGACGGACCCCCGCGCGAAGACATGAGCATGTTTGCAGGGTACCACTTTGAGAGGAGGTCTTACAGGACAATTCAGCATTATGCCATCTTTTGATTTGGGGGGGGGGCGGTCCGCTAAAACTTGCAGGGGGTCCTGGAGACCAAGCCTAGCCAAAGAGGTTTGGTTGTCTAGGGGTTCATTCATTGCAAACTCTCCTATAGTACCACTTATCCAAGGGTACTAGGCCGCATGCCTTAGCAACTTGAACAACTGGCCTGGTTTGCTTCCACACCTCCAAAACCCACACCTACCACTGCTGCCCCCGACTTCGTTTGTCGCCGCTTGTAAAAAGTTTTTTTGGAAAGACAAGAAGATGTCGTTTTCGTGCCTTGTTCGCTTGCTGGTGGAAATAATCTACAGCCCAGGACGCCTCTCAATTCACACACTCATGAGTCAGAAGAATGGAGGCCATCCCAACCTGACGACCATACCCCTCCCATCCCCATGGCTCTGAATCAGTGGACTGGTTCCTCAACTCCGATCCCATCGCCCGGTCGCCATGGGTCGGTTAGGAAGAAGAGTTCATCACGGCCATCCGCACTTCTGAGGCAAGACATTGGGAGAGGCAGTGGTGTTTGGTTGGATTTGGTTTGGGTGTCTTGGATTGGTTGAGTTGGGCGGCTTGAGCTTGGTTGGGTAGGGTTTCTTTGGTTTGGCGTGGCTTCGTTTGGTTGGTGTTGTTCTTCGTTGGTTTTGGTTGGTTGGTTGATGAGTTGGTTTTGGTTAGTTGGTTTCGGTTGGTTTGTTTTGATTGGTTCAGGAGAGTATCTGTGCTTGTGTTGCTTGTCGGGCTTGATCCAAAAGCCTGCAAAAATAGTGTAGCCCTGGCACATCCATGCGCATCCCGCGACCTGTAGTTTGGCAGACTGCTGAGGTTGCTCCGTGTTCCTGGGGATGCACTCAGGGTGCAGATTTTGTTGTGAATTCCTGGGCCTTTGGCGACTGGCAAGGTGCGAATGCTGTTGGACGACTTGGATGTGATAGTGGAGCCCCGGCCGGGTGTGTTCGAAGCCTTCAACCAAGAGGAGGCGGGATCACGAGCTGAATGCTCATGAGCACTGTGAGCATCGAATGCCATTTTCTTGGCAGGTTCGGGTCGCCCAGATTTGCACAGTAATCTGATTTCCATCGAAATAAAACTTTGTTCGTGCCCAACTCAGACTGAGAGGCCTCCTTTTTGAGCACGGCTTGTGATGTGCCATGACAGGACTGGCTTTGCTAGCCACCGATGGCCGCTAGTAGGGCCGTTTGGAATCATCTGCGCATGAGCTTACACAAAAGGAAAGACCGCGACATTGGCCTGTTGAACCTTCATGTTTTTTGAGGGAACTCGTCCAAGACTCAAAAGGGAGCTGAACAAAGCAACTGGTTTCTTTTTGATGATCCATTTTGCTCAGACGCGGTGTCGCTTTTGGCTTGATTCCGCAGTCCATGGTCCATTTGGGAAGGACATTCAGGAAACCTCGAAAGTTTCACGAATCCGGGGGGCTCTCTACGTGTTCCATGTCGCTTCGGGCAACCGCAGATCTTGACCGTGGCTTAAAAGAGCTCGCCGAGCCATCAAAGGTTGAACGATTTGAGCCTCTTAAAGTGGGTTGGACCCGGTGGGTTCCCTTAAGACACCATATAACTTACCCTGGGTTCCCAAAAAGGCGGTTCCTCTAAAGAATGTTTGGGTACCATCTGGAAACTGGAGGTTTTCGGTGAAACTTTGAGGATATGGCCCTAGCAGGATGGCACGGTGTCCATGTCGGAGCTGGTCTCCGGTCTCATGAGCTTCCGTGGAGAGTTGCAGAAGGCCGGGCTGGGATGGGTCGCTCGGTTGGACTGGCACCAGCTGGCTTGGCTTCGGTTCCTGATAGGCAACCAGGTCCCCCCAGCGATCGGTGCCAACTTGAACCGTTTCTTTTTTTGGGGGGAGGGTTCGGGACCCTACTAAAATAGACTACTGAAAGAAGGGTAATTGCCCTTATTCTAACCTCTCTACTGGAGGACCTAGGCAACATGTTCTGTGATTCTCAAAATGACTTTTGGGGGTGGGATCCTTTTCAACCACAATTTAGAGGGCATTTTGAGGATGTCACTTTGAAGGGTTTTGCAGCAGACTTCAATCCTTACCCCAGGATGGTTGGACATCTCGATCAGAAGCCCTTCTAAGAGGGTTCTAAGAACATTGAGAGCTTTTCTTGCAACTTGGGCAGGGCCCTTGGTTTTCCGAGGTCTAACTTTTGCCGCTAAGACCGCATTTGCTTTGCTTTTGGCCAGCGAGATAGTCGACGAAGGCCACCTGTCATCGACGACTTGAGTCGCAAATAGTTGGTTTCAGGAGTCCATTTGGGATGGAGGCGTTGGTCGCAGGATTTGTGTCCAAGCATGTCACAGGGCACGAGATGCAAGCTGAAACTGAAACCAATCAGCTGAAATTTCATCTACGCACGTTGCTTGTCCCAATTTCCCTAGGTGGTTTGTGGCACCTGTTTCCAAATCTTTTTTGGTGGGTTGACCGCTAGAGCTGCTAGACATGTTGAAGTCCAGGAAGGGTTCAGAATTTGTACCTCGCGAATCACTGGTTGCAACTGGGTTGCCTCATCTTTGCCGCGAGGTTGACGTTCTCACCACCAAGAAGTACATGGAGAACCTGATGTGCCTGGCCTCAGCATTTTCTGCCCACGGAGTTGGTGGAGATCTGGGGCTACGTAGCGCGATCTGCCTTTTCTCCTGTTGGTAGTAGGCTAAATAATGGGAACAGGAGCCACCCCCCCCTCCCGCAGGGGTGAGTTTATACTTCATGTTTATTCTGGGAAGACAATGAATTGGAGCCCTTGGCTTGCCCATCAAGACCTTATGGTGAGTCTGGTGGGGATTTGACGCACACTTCCAGGAGGCTTTGCTGTTTGATTTCCCAGTTGTGAGTGGGGCATGGCGATTGTTTTACACCTCGCTTTTCCATTGACCACATGGCTGCCGTTCTCCGGATGGACACCTGCGCTTTGCCCTTAATGGTGGCAACAGGGCCAGGCCTGGGCCATTTGCCACAGCTTTAGGGTTGGGGCGGTCCCCCCCCCTTTGCCCTGGGGCCGGCCCTGGGGCTCTTCAAGATTGCCGTTTCTGGAAGTCCGTTCCCCATCTCTGAACCGCTGAACCGCGCAAGACGAGAGACGACTCGGCTTGCAGCTTGCAGCAGTACTCGAGGTTTTGCGCTCGGCCAATCTTGGATTTCCCCCTGAGCCAAAGTGTGTGGATGTGTGTTGTTGGAATTGGCGGCCTTTGGGGGCTAGCGGATGTTTGTAGAACGAGCCATTTAAAGGAAACTACAGCCAAACTGAAACCCGCGTGTAGATGGCTCATTTACTTTTGTTGGCCCAGATTGCGGTGAAGTTGGGGGGGCGCCAGTGGGGTCTTTGATGCAAGCAATGCTTCTCACGGCCACGTGAGGAAGCAGGTGCATGATCTGCAGCACACGCAGGGCCAGATTGTCACCCACATTCAGGACCGGTTGGGAATGGGTCAGCCGAGCTGCCTGCAACGCCGACCTGCGTCGCATCTGCAAAGCAATGAGCACACTAGCTCACCCCCGAAGGCAATCCCTTTTTTTCCAGTTGCTGAACCAATGCACCCCACACAAAGACACACACAAGCGGGAAATTGCGGCGATGTCCTACTCTCTACCATTAAAGGTTATACAGTGCGGCACACGGTTGTTTCCCGAACCTGGGCGGTGGAAACCGATGGCACCAGCCTGATCCCTACACCAGGTTTAGGAACCCTGCACCAGTGCATCCGTTTTAATAGGTTTAACGGTTTAACTGTGCGTGCGGTGCGTGCGTGTGTTCGGAGTCCAGCGGCGTACCTACATGCATACATACATACATACATACATACATACATACATACATACATACATACATACAAACAACACATACACACATACAAACAACACATACATACCTTACATACATTGAATACATACATACATACTTACATTACATTACATACATTACATACATTACACACATTACATACATTGCACATAATTCATACATTACATACATTACATACATTACATAGATTACATAGATTGCATACATTACATACACTACATATATTACATACACTAAATATTATATATATATATATATTAAATTCATTACATACATTACATACATTACATACAATACACACATACATACATTACACACATTACATACATTACATACATTACATACATTACATACGTTGCATACATTACATACGTTACATACATTACATACATACCATACATACATACATACATACATACATACATACATACATACATACATACATACATACATACATACATACATACATACATACATACATACATACATACATACATACATACATACATACATACATACATACATACATACATACATACATACATACATACATACACACATACATACATACATACATACATACACATACATACATGCATACATGCATACATGCATACATGCATACATGCATACATGCATGCATGCATGCATACATGCATACATGCATGCATACATGCATACATGCATGCATGCATACATGCATACATGCATACATGCATACATGCATACATGCATACATGCATACATGCATACCTACATACCTACATACCTACATACCTACATACATACATACATACATACATACATACATACATACATACATACATACATACATACATACATACATACATACATACATACATGCATACATACATACATACACACATACAGACATACACACATACACACATACACACATACACACATACACACATACACACATACACACATACATACATACTTACATTGCATTGCATTACATTACATTACATTACATTACATTACGTTCGCACTACGTTTGCATTACGATTGCATTACGTTGCATTACATCTCATTGCAGTACATTACATACATGTACATGTACATGTACATTTGTTGATTCCAGTTTCAAATGAGCGTTTCCGAAGGGTCTTCTGGGCTGAGCGCGGGGCCCAAGGCGTTTTGCTGTGTGGCACCATGAACAGCCGCCTTTGTCGCTCCATGAGGCGGATGGCTTAGATCGGCTTTGGCGATCTTTGCCTGAAGCGGGCCAGGCCAGCCTCTAACCTATCAGCAACCAATCCAAATCACCAATGAAGGGTGGGCAAGTTGCCTGGTTGTTGGTGGCCTCATCAAATCTCTTATTTCAGTTGCTCCCCCACTGAACAATTGCACAAGAAAGGACAGGCCTTTTCAAGCACATGTCATTGGCAACCAACCGGGCAACACATGGTCCCAAAACTGGCCGACTTGTGGTTAGGTTCGTTTGTGTGTTTGTGTGTGTGTTTGCGTGTTTGTGTGTTTGTGTGTTTGTGTGTTTGTGTGTTTGTGTGTTTGTGTGTTTGTGTGTTTGTGTGTGTGTGTTTGTGTGTTTGTGTGTTTGTGTGTTTGTGTGTTTGTGTGTTTGTGTGTGTGTTTTGGGGGTGTTGGCCTTTTTGAGGTTGAAAAGGGAAACCAAGAGGAAACCAACCACCTTGTTTGACTCAATCCAATGTCCTTTTCAAATATCACCTTACGAAAGGGAAATTCACTTAAGACTTAATAAAACGGTGACGTGGGAAACCACCACAAGAACACAGAGCTGGTGGAAGTCAGCGATTTGTGCTCAGAACCACCCCGAATTCACCCCCAGCAACTGCAGACCGGTGCGAAGCCATGCTTGCCATTGGGCTAGCCACTTGGCTAGCACGCAAACCATCTACCCACAGGCCTTGCATGAGTGGTGTTTGTGCCAGACCCGCCCCGCAACCGTTCCGTTGGCCGTGGGACCCTTTCCTGTGGATTTCAGGTCGGTTTTTTCCAAAACAAAGGACAAAGGCTGTCCCTTTATTTCCCTTTAAATGGTTTTAAACATCACCCTTTTTTGGCCCATGACAGGTGCTGGTGTTTTCTGGTGGGGATGATGTTTTCAGGGAACACCTTGTCCTTAGATCAGAACACCTGTTTTAAGGGAACATGTAGGGCGCCTTGTCCTTCCTGAGCAGAACAGCGGCTCAAAACACCCGCGCCAAGCGATGAACCGTCTCACGGCAGGAGCGGCCGGCCACCAGTCCTCAGAACCTCCCGCGCCACGAGTCCCGGCGCCTGGTGGTGGCGGTGCCCCGAAGGCGGAAGTGGTAAAGCGGCCTGGCATCCGATGACTGGCCTTTGGGACTTGTGAAGTTACCATGCGGACAGAAACGTTGATGGGAAGATCCTAGACCTTGAGTGAGTTGCTTCCTTCTTTCAACTTCTTTTCACTTAGAATCAACGGGCTAATAGCAGGTATTCTAGGGGACACTTCCCCATTTTTTCCAGGGATAGAAAACCATCAAAAACTCAGGGGAAACGACCGGTTTTTTGAAAATACCGATGGTGTAAAAAAAATGGGAATCAACCCCTAGAGGTATGCCCTTTTTTCCCACTGGTCTTGGATTTGGCACCAGGGCCTCGACGGGGAGACAGGGCCCAAGGCACTTGCAAGAGATATGCATGGCGTGCCCCAACCATTTTCCTTTGAAAACTGGGGCTACGGTGTACCAACTCGCACTCATGGCAAGGGGAATATGGGTATGCATTTGAGACTAGAGTCGGGTGAAAAGTCCGAAATCTTTTCGCTTTGTCGTCCGCGGCAAAGCGAGGATTGAGAAAATTATTTTCTGGCACCGGTTGGTTACAGTGTGGTGTTTTGCGGTTGTTTTTGGCAGTGGGAGTCGTTTGCACCGGTAGCTAAGTTGGTTGGTTGGTCGGCCAGATCTCAGGGTGCGGGTTTTTCTCAGGTCGCTTCTTGTCCGACCCAACTTCAAGCCGGACGCCATGAGAGAGCTAGCGGAGTATACCCCGTGACTGGCTCGACTTTTCACTTTGCCACCCAGCAAAACGCCATAGCTTTTTTGGAGGGGTATGTTTGTTTTAGTTGGTTTTTCATAAGAAGATCAAAACCACGCCATATCTAATCTTAGCATCTTCATACCAGGACCTCATGTAGGTCCTTGCGCGCAGCGGCGGTGACTTTGCAGGCTTTGGGACACGTGCCGCGCATGGGTAGCAAGGTTGAAATACATTGAAGCCGAAGCAGTGCATGAGCATCAGCCGGCTTTATATGTGTCAACCCTGTTGTGGAGGTCCCATGTTTCAATTACGACAGTGTCCAAGGGACACGGATGTGTTCAGGGCATGGACAGGGCCTTAACATAGTCTTTGTTGAGGCTACTCATGCTCATGGGCTTCTGGCGATGGCTAAAGGAGTTGAAACTCATCCTGCGGCTGTTGGATAGATTCTCTCCAGTCTGCAAGGAGAACCTCCTTGCCATTTACATCCCTGCGACTGGCTGGGCCAAGAAACAACTGTTCAACTGTGTGTGGAATACTTAAAAGGAGAGATAATCCCCGACTTGTTTTTGTCACGTGTTTGGCTCAGTCAGAGGCTCGCTCCTGCCTTGCGATTGGTTTGCCTATCGTTAGGGCCACACGCCGGCCTTGATGCAGTGGTTTAAGCTTTGCAGGCTGAACGACGGTCAATCGTGCACCGTTTGTTGCACCCGCCTGTCGAGGCCCATCTCACCATAACCCCCGCAGAATTGGCAATGAGCAAGCGGTGTTGCATGTGAATTCCGCGGCCAGCCCAAGCTTGCGAGCGCGGCGGTTCGTTTGATTCCAACAGCTTTTCTCAGGGCAAGCCTTCTGCGGGGAGCATTTGTTCACTGTTAGTGACGTTAATGCATGCTGTGCCTTGAAAACATGGCCGCCCTTGTGTCATTTACCCTCCTGATGTTGAAAGTAATATAGGTTCTTGGGTATTTTGAAACAAAACTAAGTCACTATCGTTGGAGCAACATGTTGTCAACCTCATAATATATTCTAAGAAAACAAACAACACATGCAGATTCGATCAGAGGGAGCATGATCCTGGTGGCATTTGGGCGAAAGCGCACAGGGGGCACCCTGAAGGGTTGCCAAGCGAACGCCCATCGAGTGCCGCGCATCCCAGCACTTCGTGTCAGAAACAGTGCGGCTCAAAATTCAGGGTTCTTATATATATATATATATCTCTCTCTCTCACTCTCTCTCTCTCTTTCGTTAGCTGACATGGGATTTCAGAGTCGTCTTCAATTTGAGGGGTGCTTCAAAGGATCGTCACCCTGACTACAAATCCTGCGCGCCCATGGTTTGACTGGTCGCTTGAGCTTTGACTGCAGGATTCTTGGGGGCAAAGGGGTCCCCCGTCGGCAGTCTACGACCTTCGGAAGCTTCGGATTTGGCATCGCAACTTTAAACATTAAGAGAAGGAAGTAAGAGAACGTAATTAGAGGCTAGGAAATGGAGGCTTTTCTCATCTTTTGAGTAGGGCAGACCTCCAGTGGAGCATTTTTTCGATTTCCCTTTACCATCAGCCACCAAAAAGAGGCGCGACTCTGCCAGAGTTTCACCAGGAGCTGCGGCTTCCGGGAACAGAGGGAGCAGATTGAGATTGAGATGGTGCCCACAGGCGCGCTTGAAGCCAGCTTCACATGAGCGACTGACTCACCGATTCTTGCGAATCTTGAAATTGCTGGATGATATATCATATGAATCGCTGTGTGCGTGTGTGTGTGTGTGTCTCTGTGTGCGTGTGTCTGTGTCTCTGTGTCTCTGTGTCTCTGTGTCTCTGTGTCTCTGTGTCTCTGTGTCTCTGTGTCTCTGTGTCTCTGTGTCTCTGTGTCTCTGTGTGTGTGTGTGCGTGTGTGTCTGTGTCTGTGTCTGGCTGTGTCTGTGTCTGTGTCTGTGTGTCTGTGTCTCTGTGTCTCTGTGTCTCTGTGTCTCTGTGTCTCTGTGTCTCTGTGTCTCTGTGTCTCTGTGTCTCTGTGTCTCTCTCTTTGTGTGTGTGTTTGTTTGTTTGTTTGTTTGTGTGTGTGTCGGCGTGTCGGCGTGTCGGCGTGTCTGCGTGTCTGTGTGTATGTGCGTTTGTGCCTTGATGTCTTTCGGGGACGGTTATCACGGGAATTCAAAGTGCCTGGAGTCTCCATTGTACCTTTAATTTTGGGGTCATAGTATCAAAATGGCATTCTTTTGCGAAAAGGCGTTTTTCCCCCTTGTCACAGCAATGTGACCGTTTTTTTTGTGCTGACTGCGACGAGTAGATATGTTGTGCAAAAAGGGAATTTAACACACCGCAGCAACTCGGTGGGGCCTTTTTAAGGATGTTAGCCAAATAAGTTGCCTTAAGCAAACGTCTTCTTCCATGTATGGCGACGCCACAGCTTGTACCTATCAAGCAACATCTTGCTTAAGTGTATTCATCAGCCACATTTGCCCAAAGCGCACGCGCTTGCCTGTAAGCATCTGCTCAACGCTCAACAATATACGGACACTGTTGCGCAGGCTGGCGCCAAGAGGGGGACAACTAGGTCCTAGTAAGGAAGTGGGGAGAGATCGCTCCCGACAAAAACCTAAGCTTGTTGCTTGCAGGCGGCAAGTGTACTTTTTCGAGGCCTGGCGCCCACCAGTTTGTTTCTTCAACAGCCACTTGAAGAAAGCAAGCGCTTGTGAGTCCTTTAGGCCTTGGCTCTGAAATGCTTTCTGGGAGGTGCGGTGCGGTGATGGAGGAAATATAATTTTACCAAGGGTATAGCTACAAAAGGATTTTAACGAAGGCTATTTGCATACATTACCTTCGACGGAATCTTTTCACAACGTGTGTTTGTGTTGAGCCACCTCTAGGCAAGCAACAGCTTGAAACGGGCCTTGGACTGGCTACTCTTGCAAATCTACTGGGGGCATCTGAAATGTTGTTTTCCGAGACTTTCCGGCTCGAGTGACGATTTGATAGTGAAACACGCTCAAAGGTTGCAACCGCCGAAAGGCAAATTGTTTGGAGCCTTCTGTCAGCTGTCTGTCCGCCGTCTGTCCGTCCGTCCGACCGCCGTCCGTCCGTCGTCTGTGCAACCGTCCACCCAGTCCAGCTGGACCCCATTTTTGCTTTGGCATACTTTGAGGGTCCCAAAAAAGCCGTCCAATAGGCGTAAAAACCCGTCCAAAAGGCGGAAAAAACCGTCCGTCCAGGACGCGTCCGCAGCTTGTACCCTTTTTTTGTTCTGTGGGCCTTTTTTGCCCTTATATGCTGAGAGGGAGCAAATTTGGGATTGCCTTCGACAAACTGCGCGCTCAGTGTTGAGTTGGGGCTGCAACTGATTTTGTGCAGCACTTAGTCTCACGGCACACGTAAGGATAGTTCTGGCGTTGACCCTTCGTGTTCAATGCTTGGCCCCGTGCCCATGTTCTGGTTGACAGTAAAACACTTGCGTGCCGGAGTGCGCCTACGTGCGTATATAATTTACTGTGTTCGTCCCTCGTTGTGTCCGCATCGTTGGAATGACCGCTCTGTTCACTGCAGTGGCTCTGAATTTGTCACTATAGCAACGACGTGCACCTAGGCGCGCTGGAGTTGAACGAGTTTGACCACAGTGTGGGAGCGACCGCGCTGCTTGTAATTTCGCTGTGACACCCAAGCTCATGTCAACGTACACGCTCGTGCTGGCACGCCTGCTGTCGCATTTGTTGCGTGAAAGCAAAATAGCTCGCCTACTGGCAAAAACTCCTTTGTTGCGCTTGACAAAGTGTGCCCGAAGCTCTGCATTGCTCGCTACAGTTTGAAGCGGTTGCAGCTTTGCCCCTTTGACCTAGCAAAATTCCCCAGCATGATTCAAGCTTGGTGTAAGTCCATCTTTCGCAGTTACTAAGTGAGCAGACGAGCATTACATGTCATAACCCCAGAACACATGCATAAGTTCCGTGTCCAAAGCCAGACTCTGGCAGTTTTCTTTTTGGTTGCACTCATTTAAAGATCGCACTCATGGCGCTATCCATTTGCCCTAAATACGCCACACACCATGCACATCAATGCGGCATTTGGTCCAGTTATACTGGTAAGCAGGAAGGAGACGCACGTGACCCCTTTTTGTGTCACAGTGCCTTTTTTTGCACCCGTGACCCCAAAAACATGGGGTCACGGCAAAAGGGCGAAAAACGAAGGGTCACGGAGACTCCAGGTGGACGCTGACGCCACCACTCACAAAGAACACAGCGCTGCACAGCACATTTTTGTGCAATTTTCATATAGAAGAGAATCTGCAAATGCATCGGGTTCGCCCACCCCATACTAACTGTCACTGATGTGTCAACGATGGAGTTCGCAACATGTGTTGTTTTTTCTTAAAAGACAAAGTTGTTTCCCTTCCAACCAGCCAGACATGGGCTACCTCAGATACCCTCAATCCTCGGGCTACCGCCATTGAGCTGGGCCAAAAGCCGACTGCGTCGCACGGCGCGGATCCGGAGGCGACGACGAGGCAAGTCCCAGCCCCTTGTGGCAGATCCCGCCCCTCGGATCGGATCGGATCGACGGAAACCCAAAAAACCTCCCAGGAGATCGCCGGCCTTTCTCGGCAAGGATATGACCTGGTTGTTGGGACACATTTTTTACATGTTGACGCTTATTGTGGCTTAGTGGAAATTCAAAATCCAAGCACTTAACTGCCAAAATTGATTTGCTTGCTCCCCTTCCAACATCAACCAAGATGGTTACCTTGTTTCAAAAAGAGAGCAGCTCAGCAAGTCAACCAATATGAACTTCCACTGTCCAGCTCCTTTTCAAGCACTGCCCAAAGTCTCTTGCAACAAGGCCCCTCAATCAGGACGCACGAAGCATGCTTTGTCACTGGAAAACGGTCACCCATCCTATTTTTCAGGGTCACTGGTTGCAACAGGGACCCAGTTCTTCGGGTGGCACTTTTGTTTTTTTCCCCCCGTTTGTTGTTGGGTTTCTTGTCGGTTTCTGTTTTTTGACATGCACATGTCAACCCCAAACGCGTTCTCCTTTTCTAGCGGGATCCCCGGTTGCAACTGGGAGCCCCACTGCTGGGATTTGCCGAGGACAGAGGAGGGCGACGTGAGCTGCAAAGCGCCACGGCAGAAATTCGAGCGACCGGCGGATCAGATGCATGTTTGCACACGTTTGGACCTTCATGTTGCTTTTTGTTTTTCTCCTTTTTTATGTGGGTAATACTCACAATGTTGGACTCCATGTTTAGGGAAGACCGAAAGCGACCGTTGCAGGGGGCCACTATTTTGAGAAGCTCCCCGGTGACCAGAGGTCTCGAGTCGGGTTCACGACATGTGGGCTACCACTAAAAACACACTCACCCACGCACTCACACTCATGTCCTTTGGGCGCTTTGGGCAGATGAGATGCATGCTGAGGAAAGCTGTTGCGCCTGCTTCTCTCGCTTGATCTCCGTGCTGTGCACGCTCGCGGTGGTCTTTTTCGCATTGCTCGGCATGGCCACCATCGTCATCGATGCTTGGTCGACCTGTGTGGCCATGTTCGAACTACATGTATGAAGCATGATGAACACATGATACCCCTGGTTGATGAATTATAAGGAGGTGTCCCATGGTAGCGGGAACCCTTCTCCTTTGAAAGGAACGCCCTATTTTTTTATCCGCCAGGTTGATCAAGCTGGGGGTCGACATGATAGGAATATTTAGTATAGTGGGCAGTCCTGCCTGCATTCGTGGGGTGTATAGTAAGGACCAGTGAACGGTCTTGGGTGTCGCGCCCGTCGAGAATTCGCCACCGTTTGCTTCCCCACAATGACCATCATCTTACAAAGTGGCTACCTCCAAGTGCCAACATCCAGCAGGACAAACGAAGCTTTCCCGCTAGAAATGACCCATTGATGGGGTAGCCGCTGGCCCCTTTGTCCATGGCCAAGGGGCAACCAGTGAACTGGGTCGAAGCTTCTAGGGGGCTCCAAAATTGGGCCCGTTGTCAGTGGCCATGTCTGAATCAGCCGTTGGGGCCATGCCTTTTGTGCCCTGGCCTTGGGCCCATTGGGGAGCGTGGACCAACTCGTATGGGATGTTGGTACTTTTGCGGAGCTTGCAAGCCGTTTAGACAGGCTCTTTGGCTGCACTGCCCTTTTTCCAACCTTTAAACTGGCTAGTCCCAGGCTCTTTTAACCATTGTTTTTTTGGGCAAACCATCAATCAGGGGTTTGGTCATATTGACCGGAAAACCGCTATTGGCAACGGGGGAAGCGGCACTCAGCGCCCCCACTCAGCCCCTGAATGGCCCAAGTCCAAGCGAGGATGGAGCAATCCGAGTGCAGCGGGACATCCATCTCTATGAGGAGGGCGCACGGAGCGTGGTGAGCCGAGTCAAGGCGGGGCCGGACCCATGCCACGTGAGCCGGGGGAAGGAACAAAAAACACGGCGGAGTGCGGGGGGGGGGGGCTTATACGGGTGCTGTGTTTGCATTTTGCTTGGATGTTAGGACTTTAACTTTTTGACAACTAATGGGGTTTCCATTAAACCACCGAAAATCAACTGTTAGCAGGGGAGCAGAAAGCAATCGAGAGTGGGTGTGGTGAAAAATACAAAGAAAGGGCCCTTGTATGTTGGGGTCTTTGGGCAAATGGGGCACATGGCCATTCCGACTAGAGGGGTTTTGGCTCGGTGAACTGTACTTCTTCAGTGGCCTGTCGGGGATCCACATCCGTCGAATTGTCCGATTTGGTCCGTTAAAACGTTACACCAGAGTGACGGCACTTTTCCCTTTCCTCCGGAAATCAAGTTGGGATAAGACCTCCCCCCCAATGCGAGCAGGATGTTCTGCCAAGGGGCTAAGACCTCAACAGGGCGGTGGCGCGATTTTCACTTTAAAAACCCAGCTGCCGACGTGTTTGCCGCCCTGCATCTCTTTTGTTCCATTCTCCCA